TCTGTAGGTTGTCTTTTCGTTTTTGTGACAGTCTGTTGTGGCTGTCCACACATGGTTTTTGTGACTGATGTCACTCAGAGCATCTTGTAAATCCTAGGGCTTCCTGGAAGACAGTTGCCAATTTCATGCAAGTATCATCTGTCATTCGTAAGGTGTAGGAGTTGTAGAGTTCATCGACTTATAAAACCTACCTGGCATTTTTTAATGCTGTAATGAAAGTACTTAGAACAAGTTATCCTCGCCTAGGACCTTGAAGTTGCAAGTCAGTGGATCTTTAAGGACAAATCTTTAAGTTTCTTATTTTTGTAGCACAAGGCAAGTAAGTTTCCCTTTTTTAAACTTGAGAGAGATCCCTTTCTGAATAGATTCAGTCCACAGAACTTAGCATGGCGACCATTTCCTATCATGGACAAGAGGCCTTTGATATTTATGACTTTGCAGCCTGAGAGCCTCAGGGGCTGATGATGGGTCGGTCTGAGAGGACTCTCTAAGCCACAGCAGTTGGCCCCTCTGAAGGGGATGGAAGACAAACAGAGGGGATCTCCTGAGCTCGGCCAGGAGCCAGGGGACTTCAGCCAAAGTTCAGGAAAGTCTGAAGAAGAGCCCTGGTGGGGAGGGGACTCCCAGCTGCAGGGGCCCCGCCCTCCCTGCCCCAACACTTGAAAAGACTCGGTCCCTCAATGAGAGAATGTAACTCCCTTTACAGAATGTATAATCCAGTGTTGAATAAATTTGTTCCATTAGGCTGTCTGAAGTTGTTAATTCTTCACCACAGGGCAAGGTGTCAAGATTTAATCACTAGGCTAGTTTAGGCAGCAACTGCTTAAATTGTGGCTTTAACTATCAGAATAGTCAATCATAAAATATCTCAGACAAAATTTCAGTATGGAATATTCATTTGGTATATTAAATTGTACATTTATTGAATATTAATTATTAAATTACATAAAATATTCATTTAGAATATTTAGATGGCATTTAGATGGTAAGAAAGACTGACTCACTGAGTCAGTCTTAGGAAACAATATATGCTAAGAAGTGCATTTAAATTTTTTTAATTATAAATGTAATATATGTTCATTATTGAAGACACAAAAAAATGAAATAATTCATCTTACTACTTGGAGATAAGCATTGTTATCAAGTTGTGTGTTTCTCTCTGCAATTGTTTCTATGGAATATATGTTAAAATTCTTCTTCTTATTATTATTATAGAATTGAGATCATACTATACATACAATTTGGTATTCTACTCATGTCACTTAACATTACTATGAGATAATAGAAATATATATATATATATATATATATATATATATGTCTCTGCCCTTGGCTCCTAACAAAGGCTTCCTAAAACCCTTATAATTTCCTGGGTGATAGGAGTGTCTTTTGTTCTAATGAAGCACCTTTGGGTAGACTCCTGGATGAGGGCTGGTCACCAGAAAAAACAAGACATGATTAGAAGCTTGGAATCTACAGCCCTACCCTCGAGTCTCTTGAGAAGGAAGATGGACTGAAAATATAGTTAGTAATCGATCATGCCTATGTGATGAAGCTTCCATAAAATTCCCACTAGTATGGGGTCTGGAGAGCTTCCAGGCTGGTGAACACACCCACACCAGGAGGGGGGACACATCCCAGCTCCACGGGGACAGAAGCTCCGGTGATCCAGACCCTCCCAGGCCTCACCCTCTGCATCTCTTCACCTGGCTGTTCATCTGCATCCTTTATCAAATCCTTTAGTAAAGTGGTAAATTTAAGTGTTTCCCTGAATTCTATGAGCCACGCTAGCAAATTAATAGAACCTGAGGAGGGGGTTGTCAGAATCTCCAGTTTGTAGCCAGAGGAGATAGAAGTTGTGGGTAACCTGAGGACCTACTACTTGTGACTGGCATCTGAAGTGGATGGGAGTGGTTTTGGGGAAATGAGCCCCTAACCTGTGGGATCTAATATTAGTGTCAGAAGTGAATTAAATTGTCGCTTGTTGCAGGAGGAAAACCTCCACACATTTGATTACTAGAAGTGTCAGAAGTGAAGCTATGTGAGTGTGGTAGTTGTGTGAGTGTCAAGGAGACATACACAGAAGCAGAATTGTAGGTTTCTCCTTTACAATTATGTTATGGAAGATTTCCCATTTCATTGAATAGTTTTCAAAACACAATTTTAAGTTCATAATATTCCATACGTATACTAATTTATGTAACACCCTCCTATTTTTGGACATTTAAGTTGCTTCAATTCTTTACTATCGTAAGTAATCCTGAAAACAAAATTCTGTAAATGTAAGTTTTTGTGAACATCCTTAATTTTATGTTTACATTAAATTCCAAGAAGTACAGTTTCCAGGTCATGGATACACATATTTTTAAGGTGTTTTATGCATATTGCTAAACTGAACTCTGAAAGTTTTAATAACTTACACTCCTACCAGCTGGACATGTTCATGACCACAGGAATGGCTTTTAAAAAACAGAACGTGTAAAAGTATGCTACAAGTAAACTCTAAATATGCGGGAGAGTTATATATGACTCTCTATTCATTTTATAAATAACTTTTTTTTCTCCAAAGGTGTCAGGAAGATAGAAGGACATTTTGACAAAGTGGTAAGACGGCCAGACCTTCTAATTGTTTTTTAATCTTTCAAAACTTGTTTCTTCATCAATAATATGAGCAAAATAATACTTGCCCTGCCAAACAGAGTGTTTTGTGAGGATACTATGAGATGATACATGTAAACATGCTTTGAATATTATAATGTCATACAGGTGGAAGGTAGTACTTTTATTGGTCGTTACTGATATGTGGACAGACTTGATACATTCATTAGACTTTTAAAAGTATCAGTAAATTTTTAATATCTTACATTAACCTTAATATACATAATTTTCTCCATTTTAAAACTCAGATGATCCAAAAAGTAATTTTTTGTCAATTTTCTTTTGTTTATTTGAAAATAGTAAAACAATGATTTTGCCACATATGCAATTATTGTTCAGTTGCCAATTCCACTAACTAGGTTTGTGTCAGAAAAGGAAAAATTACCATAGAAACAAAATTATCTATTAGGGTTTTCTATTTAATCTAAAAATATTTGGCATGGGTACAACAAATTTAAGTGCATTCTCAACTTGCTTAAACCAATGCCTTTTTCAAAGTTATTCCCGTGGGTTTTCATTAAAAAGACCGTGTGAAGATCAGTTTGAATAATTATGACCAAATGAAACACAAAGCCAAGGATAGAACTAGTATGCAGTGGGAACTTGGTGAACCTAAAAGCTTGCACCTATTGTGAGCCTTCATAAGGAGGAAGAATAAGGAGGGAGGAAGGACTGGGACAGAAAGGAGGAAAGGATAACTTAAGAAAAACACTGAATTTCTAACAAGTTAATGGCTTGCAAAGCACCGTATGAACTGGGCCCCTGAGGACTTTAGCTCAGTTCATTAGGACTTTAGCCCATCCCTCTATTACTATTACTCCCAGTAATTCTGGTTATTGCACTTGGCCAAGGGCTTCAATTTTTTATGGCATTCAGTTTCAGCACTTGCATTTTATTGGACGTCATTGTTTGCAGGGTGTCTTTGCTAAAGAACTTAGGGAATAATTTGTAGGAGGAGGAACTGGCACAGAAAGGGAGAGATAGCAGGAAAGGAGAAAATAAATCTTTTCTCATTTTTAAATTGCCCACAAAATAATAAAAGGTAAAACAGACCTTACGGAGTCATTTAGTACAATCCTTCTTCATCTTAAAGTGGAAGAAACAGGTGTAGGTGACACAGATAAACCAATGGCCGAGCCAGGAAAATAACCAATTCCATACTCTTGCCATGGCACTATGTCTCTCTCTCTCTCTCTCTCTCATCTTATTTGAGTCCTAAAACCGAGGATCATTTGTAGTCAAAGGGAACAATGCTGCTGTCAACACAAATCGTGATCGCTCAGATTTTTCTTGGTAACTTAGAGTCTATGCTATAAAATAAAAATATAATAATTTAAATTGCAACTTGGCAGACTGTGCAGCGTGTTCACATCCATTATCTCATTTGATCCCTACAAAAAACCTTTGAGGCAAGACAAGGAAGGTATTATTGACCTCATTTTAAGAGCGAGCAGTTAAAACCCAGAGATGTTCAATGACTGACGTAAGATCACTCAGAGTCAGGAAGGAGACAGGACTCTAACGCTATTCCTACATTTGATATCAAAGAGGGAGTTTCCTCAGAAAACACTAACTGGTCTTGATCCTCTTGCCTAGGGATTCTCTATCCCAGGGTACCCCGCACTAGTTTAATGCAGTTTGGAACTAACCACTCACTGAGGGTACTCCTATTTTGCATCTAGTTCTCACCTTTAAAAGCGCAATTTCCTACCACTTCCCTCGGTCCTGATCCTTATTTAGGCTCCTATTTTTCTCTGTGAGTTTTGGCTTCCTCGTCTCACTCCAAAGCTCCACCCTCTCCAAAGAAGTAGCGTCCTCGGTATCCAAGGAAACCACACAGCCTTGCCCATCTTTCGCCTTCCACGCTTTCCATTGGCCAGTTGGATTCTGGTGTGATTTTTTTTTTTTTTCCCCTGTCCCTCCAATGGATAATTGGCTAGAGGGAAGGAGCGCTTGCCTTCCGAGTCCCGTGTAACACCTGCTCTTACTAGCCTTAACAACCTTGCGCATTGCCTCTTGGGAAACGTAGTTTATAAGCCGCCGAGCCCTTCGACGTCTGACTCCATTAGAACTACCTATCCCACCGGCCTTTGCGAAAGGGCGGGAGTAGGCGAGGAGTCAGGGTCAGGGTGGATGCTAAGAGCTTTGAAATTCCAATTTGCCCCCGAGGCGTGTGTAGCTGAGGTTTAAATTGCTGAACGAAGTGAGCGGTCTTGCTGTTGCTTCAGCACACCCTCTCAAGTGTCTCCCCTTTGACTTGCGCCGGCACAGCGGCCAAGTCGACTGGCCGTGGCGAGACTAGCCTGTGGCTGAGGTGATCTGAGGGAGCGTGAAAGCACGCCATGTTCGTCCCCTGCTCGGGATGGGGGCTGGGCTGCCTCCGGCTCTGTCTGCTCCGAGTGTGGGCCAGCGAGGTCGCGGGGCGCTGTGCGTGCGGGGCCTGTCAGGCCCGGCTGTACGGCTCAGGTGGGTCCCAGCCCGACGTCTCTCGGTCTGGACCCGCGCGCCGGACTCTGAAGGAGTGGGCACTTCTGGTGAGCCCTTTCGGCCGGCTGCGGACGCGGCTCCCATGCTCCCTAGCCGTGAGGCCCCTGGACCCTCTCACCTACCCGGATGGCGACCGCGTGCTGGTGGCGGTGAGCGGAGTGGAGGGTGGGGCCGTGGCCAGCCTGCAGGTGAGGTACGACGAGGCGCAGAAGGAGGTGGCCATCGTGTCTGACGTCATCGACCCCCAGGCGTCCGTGGAAGTGAACGCGCCCCTGAAGTTTGGCAAGTGAAGTTTAAACGGGCTTGGGTCCCAGGGCACATCTTCATGCCCGGGATGTTTGTGGTGTGTGAGGTGAAGGAGAGAGGTGGGAGGCCGGCTGGAGATGGGGGGGCTATTGTTTTTTTGTTTTTTTGTTTTTTTTTCTTGCGTTATGCGGGCCTCTCACTGTCGTGGCCTCTCCCATTTGCGGAGCACAGGCTCCGGACGCGCAGGCCCAGCGGCCATGGCTCACGGGCCCAGCCGCTCCGCGGCATGTGGGATCCTCCCGAAACGGGGCACGAACCCGCGTCTCCTGCATCGGCAGGCGGACTCTCAAGCACTGCGCCACCAGGGAAGCCCCGTTTTTAATTGGTCCCTTTGGATCTGACTTTCCAACCTAATTTACAATTTACGCCTTCGGAGGTTGCCTCTTTTTTTCTGTTGTGCTTTGGGTTTCTGGGCAGTAGTTAGGAATTAGGTTCTCAATTACAGCAATTTTATAAATTGAATGGAAACATGATTTGGAATAATCTAAGCCGAATAACGTTTGTGGAACCCCTTCTGTTCTCCTTTGGCACTTTGTTCCTATTTGTGTCATTGCACTTTGTCGGTAACAATGTGGTGTATTTTTCAGGGTTAAAGTATCTTGATAATCCGCTCAGTGGCATGGCAGACCATCCGCGTTTCCCCTTGCTCACTGCCTGGCGTCTGTCCCCAAACAGCCTTGTCTATAGCATGTTCCATCGAACCTGGACCAGGTGTTTGGTTTCTGATAGGCACCCGGCTTCTTACTGAAAACGTCACCACTCATTTTGGCCTAAGTAAATTTTCTCTGAGTAGCAAGCCATGAAGAAAAACACATAGTAAGATTGCCTGGGAAACTTCAACTGATAATGGCTGCCAGATATGTTTCCTAGGTATTTGGGTTCCATGTTATTTCTCACGTGGAAACGACTGTGTACACAGCACTTTTCTAGGAAAGTCTTCCCTGGCTCTCCGACTTCCCGGGACTGAAGGAAGATACTAATGAAGATCTTAATAGCAACTAACACTTTTAAGATAATCTTTTCCAATCCTTACAGTTGCAATGGATTATAGACACTTATTGTCACCATTTAAGATGAGGGAATTGAGATACAGCAAGTTTCATATACTAAGTATGTATTGTGGGTGAACAAGTAGAAGAAATCTGTGACTTGATGAAATTTAATTTGTAGTGGGGTTAGATCAAGAAATATGCCTATTTTCTCTCAGATATAAAGTGGTGGAGCTGAGATTTGAACTGACTGGATTC